AGGCGAAGCTGAGCTTCACACCACTTGCAATACAAATATTAATCATTATGATTCTAAGCAATTGAAAGACAAACCAAAAGTTTGATGAAATTAAACGTTCAAAAATTCTTGAAAGGACAAAAAAAGCGGAAAATTCAACGATACTTAATTCCATCGGAAAGCGTTTAAAATCGGGTACAAAAAGTTACTAGAAAGACGTATACAGCTTACGTGTCAAAAAAACATCAATGCTTCATGCACTATTTGAAATTTCATGCACACTCTCTTAGGTGTTGAAGAAGACAAGAATCGGATCACTCAACCTTAAATGAGTTACCAAAAATGTTCCATTTATTCAGTCTAATCATACGAAGAAAATCAATTAGAATTACGGCTAGCGAGGAAAAATTAAGATCTCTTAAGTTCTTATCTAATCGAAATAAAAATATTAAACATTTAAGCTGACGAGAACCTCGGGGTTCAAAAATGGGACCATTTGTTTTTGATATCAACAATTAAAACGATTCACGCAATCTAAACCAATTAACGTGATTTTATTTGCAAATCATACAGATTTATGCAGTTAAGTAAAATAACATACAGGAAACCTAGCAGATATTCGACAAATCAAGAAGAACCACCCTGTGTATTTTGCCAACACTGAAATATGTTTCAAAAAGACAATCTTTAAGTCTTACTTTCTTAGAATGTGTTTTGATAAAACAGCAGAGAAAATCACAAGGTATAAATCTAGGTAACAAAATATCTTCTGCACTAAAATAATTTTTCTCTAATATCAGTTTTTTTTTTAAAATTCAGAAGCATTTGACAAACGTCTGCAAAAAGACCATTAAGACGAGAAGTCCAAATAAACCAACAAAAACCCACAACAATACATAATTATCTAAGTAACAAAATAAACTTCTTCAATAAGAAAATTTTTGCTGCTATTTTTGTTAGAATACTGCTAAACAACAACGTGATAGCATTTATTTAACCAAAACAAACAATGCCATCAATGTTTTGATCTCTGCATTCAACCAGAAATGTTACAAAATCGCAAAATTAAAACACTTGGACGGAATAAAAAAAATCTCCGTAATTAAACAAAACTCTTTCAAGCTTTTCTGCATTCGAGTTGTGAGCAACTATTGTTACCCTGCCTAATTGCTGTGAAGCACTAAGTCGTCAGTTGTTCTAACTTATGTGCAACATAGCTTTTTTATATTACCTAAAGAACAATGTGAAGAGAATCATGTTGGTCAAACCACATGTACCTTATTTGTCTTAAAAACATTTTTAAAGCTGACATATTATAGACTCAACCTTTTTTTCGAAGCAAGAAAGTGAAAGTGGATGGAAGCTGAAAGAAGCTTGAGCAAGCTAGCTTGAATAGAGAGACGCAGCGGAGTTTGAGTTTGACCTCTTGAGATGGGGACGTGGACTGACGTTTTATGACGTGGAATGAGAAGAAAGCGATCATTTGAAATTTTTTGAAGAAGTTTGATAAAAGATGATCATTTTGGTATGGACACGAGTTTCTGTAGGAACTCTGAAGTCAGTGTAGCTTCCTTACCTCGCACCAGCCTAATCCTTAAAAAAAAGTTAGCTGTAATTTAGCGGCGCTCTGGGGGTTTTTGTTTAAATTTCAAGTTGACACTGAATCACATCCATTTGTCGCCGCTGAATTCCTCAGTCAGTGAACAAGAGAAAAAAGTTCGATTGAAGTATGGAGTTCACTGACTGAAGTTTACTGAAGTCAGTGAGCTTTTTGAAAAAAAAAGTTTGATTGAAGAATGGGCAAAAAATATATCTTAAAAAAGAAAAGTTTGATTGAAGGAAGGAAGGGCGAAAAATGAATTTTAAACACAATGATATTTTAAAACTTGAATTGTTTTTGAACTAATTAGAATGAAGATAAATAAACTGTGATTGCTTGCGACAGTGCCAAATGGCTTCTGGCACTGTCTCAAGAATGTGATAGGTAAATTGCAGAAGCAAACTTAAATATCAATGAATACATCAGCTCCCGAGATCGGGTAATGAGCCAGTCGAGTCGGCAAGTTCCGAATACTCAGCCAAAATTGGTATCAAAAAAGGTTGAATTTCGCCAACGAGTTTGATCAGAATAATTTGGGCAGGAAAATAGTGAAAGTTTGGACATTTCAGCTGACTGGTTCATTCAGGCCAGAACTCGTGAATGATCAGAATAGTCAAAATATGCAATCGATCTAAGGCTTTCGATCATTATCAGAGAGAGTGCAACATCGAGAAATCTACTAGGAAGCCTGTAAAAATTAAAGAAACACCAAACGCAGATTTCCTAGCAATCATCTTACTTTTGACCGACTTCTGCAATGTTTATTAGCAACTCTTCCATCGCTGCTAAAATTCTCCGCGGCGACACCAGTTCTTATTGAAAATTTTTCCAAAGCTCGTTAATTATCGAAATTCTTTATCATAGCTCCTTTTTTATGCCCTGAGATACATATTGAGCCTTAGTTTTGTTATCATTTTCCGGCTCTAAAGAGTTATCTGTGCTTGAGCGATGATCCAGACATAAGGGACCAAAGCTAATTCTGTTCACCAAAACATAACTTCCAAGGACACGGTTTTCGCGTTTTTGTTAACTCAATTTGAGCGAGAGTGGGAAAATTCTTTTTTGTGACCCGAAAACGGTGAAGTTAAAAGAGGTTGATGTCCCCAAATCACATTTAGATTGGCTCTTGAACGTAGCGACGACTAAAAGTGGGATATTGACCCTTCCAATGGCTATAAGAATCTCTATAAGAACTAAATTTCCCTTCGTTGCGCCAGCCGTTCAGCGGCTGAAACCTTTCTGCGGGAATGCACAAATTTGCTGTTAAGCAATTGAAGCTGAAAAACAGCGAATCACTCGAGGAAGGAAAAAACATAGTTGAAATCAACCACGATTGGGTTTAGAGAAACTAACAACATAACGATAAAAACCTTAACAGCTTCTACTATTATACTTTATACTCGTTGCGATGTTAACCGACAAGCGCGTGAAAACGATGATAATGGATTGATTTAGCTTTTAATGTCGACCAAGGAGGCTTTTAAAAAGTTTATCCCTGGGACTGCCCCTGAAAATACTTTAAGCTGAATTGTAAACTCCTTAGCTTTCTGAACATCCCGAGTTCTTTATTAATCCGTTTAGAGTCCCGTTTGACATTTTCAGAAGCCTAGATAAGGAGGACATGTCGAGCCATCTGCGATGGATCTACTAGCTATGACTTGTAACAAAAAAAAAAACCAGCCGCTTTTGAATGGTACCCACGTGATTGAGGGCGAGGGGAACCAGTGTTGTGTAACTACTACTCATATCGAAAGTTGCTGAGTTTCAATTGGAGCTAGACTAGAAAATGTCATGACATCGCCAAACCAAATAAAGGAGCCAGCTATTCAAATGGATATAATATAGATAACTAAAACATAAATTTATTTATTGCGCTAACTAAAAGTTATACTGTAGCTCTAGCAATTAGTTGGTGCTGGAACTAAACTGATATGTTTTTATCCGTCTAAAGTAAACTCACTTGTTTTGCTGTCTCATTTTATTTGATTTGGTGAAGTCATGACAGTTTTTGGCTAGCGCCAGACAGAATTTCAGCCAATTTTGATACAAGTAGTAGTTTCATATCACTGGTCCCCCTTTTACCTCAATCAAATGGGAACCATCGAAAAGCAGCTTGTTTCTTTTCGTTGCAGGTCGTAGCTAGCAAAAAAATCCGTAGATGCTTTCCGTCCAATTTTCATTAACTATGCCGAAACTGAACTGCAAAACTGGCCGGCCTTTCAAAGAAAACTAAGGGATGGCAATAATATTTTTTATATTTAAAAAAAATCGCAAAAACCATCATAAAAACTCCTTCGAAATTATTTTTTCGCTTTCCTCGCCAAGTTAAAGTATTCGCTTCGTCCCATTATCGAAAACCAATGTCCGATTTATGAAAAACCAATGTTTGACTGGTTTCTTGAACTCCTGTCGGAAACTAATTCACTCAAATTAAGGGAGACAATGACATCAGATTTGACTCAAAAACTAAATCAGAAAACTTTACTCCACAAATTACAAAGATAACTGCGCAGAATTTATGAGCCCAAGTCATTGCTAGACCCACAAAACTTTGGGTGACTGATCAAGGTTAATTCTTTTGTACAGTCTCTTTTGATTTATGTAATTAAATGCTCAGAGTAAACCTTCCCAAAACCTGGAAATTTTCTATTTTTCAGTTGCACGATGTTTTGTGGGTGAAAAAGCAAAACTACGACCACATGCAGTTCAAGTGCTTGTTTTTGATTGATAATTGAAAAAAAAATTAAAAACCATATTTTGCATTTTTGACAGCCACTAAAGAATTAGGCCAATTGTTTTTTTAAGAAAAAGCCTTGTGTTAAAGAATAAAAAGATTTTAACTTCAATTATTACTAACTGTAACACTTGTTTGCTTCAGCTTAGAATAAGGCCAACCTTCAAAGCAGCAGGAGAAGACAGTGCCCTGATTGATGCCACCTCATTACCAGAGCCAGAACTTGATGCCATTCTTGAACTGAAAAGAGAGCAAATTTATAGTACATACTGTTTTCTTGTGCTTGATCAAGTATGATGATTAATTTTAGCATGTTCCTTTCGCGTTCTAACACATGATTTGAAACCACTTCAAGCAAAGTGAAGCTATTTCATTGGTTTTAGCAATTTCAGTCCCCATATACAATATTCGAATGGTTGGAGCTTCCATTGACTGTTTTATTATTCTTCCTAATTTCCAAGCTGTATCATAAAATAAGGAGACCAAAAATTGAAAACTATTTTTTGTTGCTGAAATTTTCATATTGCTAATTAAAAAATTAAATTTTTGTATGTTTCGACCAAAACTATTTCATGTCCGACTTTTAACTTTTTTGTAAGAAAGAATTTTTGTAAGAAAGAACGATTTCTGGCTATCACAAATTTTAAACTAAAATAATTTTAAAAAGAAGTATTTTATGTACAAGAGATTCCGACATTTCAATTGACTATTAGACTGGGAAACAAGCCGTGGAGTGAGAATCTGCAGAATGTCTAAAGCTAGAAGTTAATATGTGAAGAAAAAAATTTGTCCACACAAATCACAAACTAGAAATTGAAAAAACATTTTTTTTTCTACCAACAGCTCATTTGGTGAATCTTTGTTAATAACAGTTTGATTATACTCTGAGTTAGAAGTAATTTGCGGAAATCGCTCCCAGAGTGTCGTTCTGTGATTTATTTTGAACTCTGTTGTTCCACGTTGATCTCATTCCAGCATGGGCACCAGGCAAATCATCGATACCATCACAAAGCTCAAGTAGAGACCCATTTAGTTTAGCTCTCAAACTAGTCGCTTTTCCCCGAATACGTGATCTTAAATCGTTTGCAATACGAGCTCTCGCTTCAACGGTACCGACTTTTGTTGCATTTTGTTGTAGCTCCTTCAGGTCATGTAAGGCTTGAGTACGAAATCTCTCGAGGAACTCCTTGCACTCCTGAATTATTTCGAGCAAAGCTCCGAGTGACGCAATTTCAATTGCCAGATTCAAGTGTTTCAAAAAAAGTACAAAACCCTCGCCCAAATTTTTCTTTATTTCTTCGACACATTGTATATGTTCTTTTTCATATTCCTTAAATTTTTCTGTGTTGGACATTTTTGATATTCCAAGAGCAACTGTTGAGCCAGCGCCTGCTGCCATAGCTACAGCGCCCACAGGGGGTAAGAGCGGAAATATAAATGCACCCACATAAGCTAGTGAGCCGGTGAAAACCTGTGCCACACTTTTGCTTTCATGTTCTCTGATCTCTTTGTTTGCTCTTTCTGCCCACCTATTAGCCTCTTTTGCATTCATTGTCAGTCTGTTTTGCGCTTCTTCGGCACGCAATTCAGTTTTTTTCAGTTCCAGAGCAGTTTCATTTTGTTTTGATTGTATTTTTTTGAATCCATCTGATACCTCTTTTTCTAGAGCAACCATGTCTTCTGCTTGTTTCGCCAAACACGAAATATCCTTCTTGAGCTGCCTCTCCACTGTTGCGAAATCTCTTGCTGCAATATCCAGGTGCGTTGTCTTGTAGTTATCATTTTCAAGGATGTCTTCGAGAGCCTGATCAACCGAATTGAGAGCAACTTTGTAACAATTTGAAACAGTTTTTGGCAAAGTAATTCCTCCATAAGCCATTCTACGTCGTCTAAAAGCGAAAAACTTTACAAAACGTTTGATAGATAGATTCATCTTATAGCAAAGAAAGTTTTTTATAGTAAGAAATTTGCATTTAATGAACAAAAACTCGACTATGTAGATGAATAAATAAACATGTTGAATAGAAGTCAGGAGAGTTTGCTTATCACGCAAAAAAATGTGGAGTCTAATATTCTTTTTAGTCAGTTTTGAGCACATACCTTTTTCAAATTTTCATTGGTTTGTCGACGAACAACAACCCATATAAAAGTATACATAAAAATATCGGGTTTAATTTTTGATGAAAAACTCAGCACAATCTAAATACTATAAAAAACCCAACTAGAAAAACACCATGTTGCACTAAAAATTACATAATTACTGTGTTACATAATTACTAATGTATTACTGTTTTCTAACGTCGAAACTTGTTGCAAACGTTTTTTTTGAAACTATATTGAAATATTGCTGAGCGATCAATTTTGGCTAATATGAACAGGAGTGTCTGTGCATGGCGTTTTTGAAAGTTCCAATAAAACATATCACAGATGTTCACAAGGTGGATGTGTATCATTCAGTGATTACGTCTCAAATGACATAATTCCCAAATGGCATAAAAGGGAAAAAATTCTCAAATGGCATAAATTTCATGCAACAATTGCCATGAAAGAAATCGAGACCAATTTTTTCGTGAACAATGTGAAAAAACAAGTCAAGTTGTCATTTTAAATGTGATTGACAATCTATCTTGAAAAATTTATAGAGTTTTTTTAAATCAAAAGCAAGAAGCATAAGCTTGCGGTTATTAATGAGCTGCTTTTGTTCGACAAATTTGTTGCGTAACATTTGTTTGGAAGCAATTATTTCCAAGTCTTGTTCACATGCTTTCGTTCCTGGCAAAATGTTAGAATTAGAAATCGATAGAAAACGTTTCAATCACAATGAAAACTTAAAATTTTTGCCATTTGGGAAGAAATTCACTTTTATGCCATTTGGGAATTATGCCATTTGGGAAGTTACCGCATTTAGTCATCAAACGGGAAATTTTTGATCTGTATTTTGTTTTTAAAAAAATTTGAATTGAGTTTGTCATACATGGTTTTTTTGTGACAACTGAGACTCAAAAGTGGAAATCAGAACAACCGAAATTACAATAGGGTGAAGGACGGGAAACGTGTACTTGAGTCCAAATACTATTGGCAATTGGATTAATAAAATATCAATAGAGTAGAGTTGTTTTGTTCCCTACATAAATTCGAAAGAGGGTTTTGTACTCACCTGTAAAAACCGTACGTTCCAGAGAATCATTCGACAGCTAGACTGGGGAGATTCCCAGTAAAGTGATACGAAGGTCAAAAACTTATGAAATCTTTATCAAACTTCTTGAGCTATTTTCTGGATAGGTATTTATTCCTTGATTGGTTTCCTCACAGAGACTAGTTCCGATGTTATTAATATGCCGTGAGGTCAACAATTTAATTACCTGAGACAGTTTCAATTGACCTAATTGATTATAGGGAGTTTAATATTGATCGATATGAAAAGAGTAATTTGTACAATGTCTACAAAAAATACAACCATAGATACCCAGCCCTATTTTTAACGACGTTCGAGTGTTTCAGGTATTCTGAGACCTGGCCATGGGGGTTTTCTTTTTTTTCTAGAGTGGAGGATGTTATTTTGATAGTATCTTCTAGGTTGTAACAATCTGGAATCTGGAAAGTTCCGTGGCTAAATGAGTCAAATTAGTTTGGTTTGAACAGACTGAGGTAGAAAAGCAAGAAAGATAGTACCTCTGGCCCTCGGATCAATGGCTATAGAACCTGTTGCAACCTCCGACTAACTCAAACTCGAACTATCTGGTGTTTATGAGCATCAGTTTTTGCCCGGAATGGTTATCTAAAGTATCTAAAAGAGGCAATCGCTCAAAAACAAAGAGAGAAAAAAGAATTGCTTCTCAATTAACAAAATGGAAATCTTCTCCGCTGTTAATAGATGCATTTTTGTCTTTATATTGTCGAACTTTTAATCAACACAGAGACAAGCTTGAGAAGCAGTTCTTTTCGTTATTTTTATCTTTTTGTTGTTTTCCTGCAAAATGTAGTAGGCATGGCTGGCTTTGGTAGTAGGACTCAATCAATTACATTTTTTTGAACTTGACTGTCAAAACAAATTTCTAGTCCCACTGAACGTATTTTTTTTTGTAGCCAAGTTCAAAAATAGTTGACGGGATTTAGGTTGAATCCTACAATTTTTTTGATAGCTGCATTTTTTTATTTGTGATTTTTTTCACTTCAAGGAAGGAAGATTTTGTACTGCAACCGTTTGAAACTGGGTTCTGTCCAAATATATAAACGTCATGATCATGCTTGCAGACTGCTTTAATTTTCATGTTACCCTATGTTGTTTGAAAGACAATTACACATAAGCAACCGTCCAATCACGTGAGAATTTTTTGCTTAATTTTTTCTAAATTGTCTGTTCTGAGAAAAACTTCCATCAATGAAATGAACAGTAATTTTGTCCGCTGAAATATTACTCGAAACAATATTTTTCTGCTTTTCGAACAGGCTGCAGTTCAATTTTTTTGTTCTATCAGAACATACAATTCTTTTGTCTGTAAAAATTTGTTAAATCTAATTTAGAAACTCTCACGAAATTTCCTAGGTAGTATGTTGACTTGACTACTTATTCTGCTGAAGAGTTCGCTTTTGAGGAAAACAAAATTAGAACATGCCTTTTTGTTACTGCTTTTGGTGCAAATTAAATCTAATTAAATCAAATTACTCGAGAATTTTATGTATCGATGTCTGTCGAATTACAAATTTTTTTGAATTCCTGTGAAATACGTTCCATTGTATACATAAAATTTTTGATTTTTTATTCGTCATAAAATAATCGTCTGTTTTTGTAACATACTTTGTTCGAACAGATTCTACACGCAAGAGTTTTGACGTGAAATCTACTCTTTTTCTAATTTTGTTCCAACCGTTGAAAATGGGGAGGAACTTTTTTTTTCGGGATTGTTGTAACTTTGTTATTCGATGTATTTATTTTAGTATGGCTGTCGATTATACCTAGTCCCCAGTTTTTTGATCAGCTACTTTTACATCACCACTCTGAAGAACCGGTTTCAAATTTTTTGATTTTTTGTCTTAGTCAAGCGAATAAAACAAGCGAATTCGAGCAAATAAAACAAGCCTATTTTTAGACTTTAAAACCTAATTTTGAGCAAAAAAAAACAAACTTTTGGGTTTTTCAGCTTCATTTTGGGAACCAAAAACTTCAAAAAGCTCAAAAATTGATTATTATATTCAATGAAGTTTATGATTATTTTTCAGTTTTTCTAGTCATTTTGCCAGATAATTTTTTTGTCCGATTCGCCTTTAATACTATGATTGTCTAATATGCCTAAATTATAGTTCAATTTTACGTCAGATCCTTTTATCACACCAAGCAGAAAAAACCAAACTAGTTTGGAAAAAAGTACCTTCTAAGCAGTAGTTTTCTAAAGACTATGGTCGATTATTCTGTGCTGCTTGTACAGTAACCGGCTATCCTTGTTTCTTATTATCTTTGTTTCATGTTAATTTCCAGGTCTACAAGGCCAATAGACTCATTTTCATCGTTTGATCACTTCCAAACGCGGAATTTTTTCGAGCTAACTTTTATTTGTTGTAAGCTGGTTGCAGTTTTAAAAATGTTGTGTTTTTTAGAAATTTTCGCCAGTTGATTCAGAAAGATTACGAAGACTTGCAAATGCTTTTTCCTGAAGCGTGTATTTTCAAGAGCTCTCAAAATTTTCAAATTAGAATTCCCATCTTTTGGTTTTTGTTGTGGTATGAACTCTTTTAAAATTAATTTGTTCTAATTCTTCGTTTTCAGGTATTTCAAGATTAGCTGCGGAACGTTTCATTTGTTTAGCTAAAATCAAATTTCTTCTTTTTCAAAGAATAGAAGCAGGGTTTGTATCTGAAGGCTTTATTGACTGGCGTAGAAAAAGATCTCAATTTTGCGTTCGTGGTAAAAAAAACAATACCAGAATCTCGAAAATTCAATTTTTTTGTCTTGTTTTGAAATTAGCATATTGGTATCAAACTCTCATCTCGCGTACAAAGATATTAGCATTTATCGACCCATTGAAAAGGGTTAAAATTGACCTGCATCTATTCCAACGTATGTTTTTTAGATATATAGTATTAAGAATGATTTGATTTAATTTAAGTATTAAGAATGATCATAAACACTTACGCACCTGGCGAGCAGAACCTGACAAGCTGGCGAGCAGATTTAGCAGATTTCAGTGTTTAAACAGATTTGCTGTGCTGCAAAATGCTTTTGTTTTGAATTTTATGTTAGCCAGATCCTGTGGTCTGCTTTGATTTTAAAATTTTAATTAAGACTGGCTGTAGATTACAATAACTTCGTTAAGTCACAAGACAAATCAGACAAAGTCTATCATTGAATAGAGCTCGTGATAAGCCTGGCCCATTTTCATCACTCTTGCAGCTTCATTAATTAATAAACTGGTTGCCTTAAAATACTGAATTATTTGTTCAATCTACGAAACAAATAGTTGACATATCACAAGGTTTGCATGTCACGCTAAAATTAGATATAATACTTTTTGGCAGGCCAGAAATTGTGGTCTGAACAAGTTTTTTATAATTGTGACTTGATAAGGCTGGGCAATGAAGCTAACGTCATACTCTCTATCAAGAAAACCGCAGCACGTGCGATAGAGCACGAGACTGATCAGAAAAATTTATCGTTGAACGGAGCGCGTGTCCATTTTGGTGGTCCATTTTGACTCCTAGTGCATTTTAATAAAACTCGCTGAATTGACAAAAAGCTAGCCATCATTGAACTCAGATTGTGATCCTAACCAAGTTTTTTTTTGCTATCTGATAAATTGATAAAGGCTGTTTGTTTCGGCAAAATTTGACGACTAAGCCTCTGTGCATCCAAATTACAGCTTGTAAAAAGTGGTAGAACAGGTTAAATGACTACGCCGTAGGTGACTTTTTTACCTTGCTAATCAGTCTTTTTCATTTAAAAGGTTCAAAAATAACCATGTCTCCTGATTACTCAGAATGCAAAACAATGATATAGTCAAACATTTAAATTCAAAAAATAGATTTGATATTTTCAAATGGTTAAACAGTTGAGACGGTTAATATGAATTTCTTATGTGAGTTTTTGATTTGCACACAAAAGAATGCTAGAGTGCTAAACCAACTTCAATTGTTCGAGCAAAAGCTGGACTTAAAACCCTGTACAGTATAAGACATTTTTACATTTTACATGAACTTCATACTTAGATGGCTTTACATATATTTACAAGTCAGTCACTACAACTAACTTAAACGCCCACATAATGAATGAGGTTATTGAGTTAACTATTTGACGCCCCATGAGTTTGCATGTTGCGTGTAACATGAGCTTTTATGCGAGTAGCTAAGCCAGTTAGTCATAATTAAGCTCTTATTAGGACAACTGATCCAAGTAAAGGCAAAACGCGGCAGAGTTCTGACTATGGAAACAAAGCATCACACATTAACATTTTTTGAGTTTAGTTTCCAATTAAATCCGTTCTCTACAACTGAGCCGCACTCGTCTGTTATAAGTATTCAATTACAGCATGCCTGGTTTGGCATACATTGGCAGGTGGTAGTAGTTGTAGCTCAAGTAGGCCAGCAGTCTGGTCTCCACACTCTTCTTGTACCCTCCAGACTGGAACTCCTTCATCAGTTTGTTCCACTCTCCAGACTTCATCTAGAAAAACGAAAAAAAAATCAGATAAATTACAACACAAGAATAACCGCTTTCCAGTTATTCTTATTCTCGATAAAAAAAAACAAAGGAAACAAACATTTTTTCATCATTTTTTCCAGACTGTTGTCGTTTTTTGTGCATTTGGGACTGATAATTGAAGGAAACATTTACCATGGCCTTGATTAACGTGAAATAACAAAACCTTAGCATCTTTCACCAAAAATGAAATGAAACAATAAGATTGAATTTTCTCCCAAAAATGGTCTGAAAAGCAAAAAACAACATCTAACTATCATTTAGCGAAAAACAAAGAACATAGTCAACGGACTCATGTTTACTTTGCAATGACGCGTAAGCTATTTTGATTAATACAAAAACGAGACAGCCACGAAACGGATCAGACGTAATCAATAATCGAATGGCGCTCGCGAACTGTTCACTTTTGACCAGGTTAGCAACCTGCTAAAATAACAAAAACTGGTAATACTCTTTGACAACATAAATATTGTTCAATACGCATAAGCACAGACATGCCATATACCAAATACGTCATGAAAAAAAATAAAACAATGTGATTTACAAAAACACGTGCTCTGTTCTCGTTTTCAACACACTTGCAACATGACGAGACTGGCTGAATTGACCATGCTGCTAAAACCATTTGTCCAGACTGAAAGCACGTGAAAAGATGTATGAATCAACGAAGCTCGTAACCTCGTCTTATTTCGAGTCGATGAAATCGTGAAGTCGCGGTCGGAGTACCATTCGCCAAAACAACGCATGTTGAGTTATTTAAACTTCGCCAAAAAACGAGAGAAAACAGCTTTAAAAATGTTACGTGAATAAATTATAGCCACCTTAGAACTCGAAAACTAAAAAAAATGGAATCAACCTGCGATGATTGGTATTTTGTTCAAATTAAACCAATTAAAAAAAAATTGGATCAACAGCAAGAAACAACTCAACTCTACTGAAAGTAAGAACCGATAACATTTTCGCGCCATTTACGCTTTCATAATTGGAGAGAACAACTTACCTCAACTGTTAGCAAATAAATATGAATTGAACTCAAAAAAAGCATAAGTATCTATGCGAATTCAAAAATGCATTAATATATATGGTGCACAGCTGTAGTTATAATAACATTTTAAGGCTGTTTCCTGAAACCAAAACAATCATCAAGACCGTCATAAAAACATAGCAAACATGCAGTTGGAAAAGTGTATTGAACGAAAAGAAATAGGAAAAGGAATTGAAATGAACTTGAAAAAAATCAAAGTCACACCGCGAAAAATCAAATTTGAGCCTGAAAAATGACTTTCTGAGAAAATACACCTACAACTTGACGATCCATATTTAATTATTGCTGTTTAAAAGGAACCAGTCATCATACGTGCATCTGTAAACTTCTCTTATCTTTGAAAAGTGGAAAAATCTAAAATGAATATTTTCTGATTTGCTCACCTCCATGTTTTCCTCGATGATGGCTCGGACTTTCTGCGTGAACGAATTCATCTCGCCGTCTTCACCTTCATCTCCACTTTGAACCTATACACAGATAACCGTTTATCCCGTCAATACTTTTGCTGCATGCATCAACCTTTCGAAAAAACTGTTATTTTTTTCCAATACATGCCACATCACGTTTTGGTGGGCAAGTGTTTAACTTGAGGCAAAATCAACAGCCGCTAGAACTTTGAAACCATGTTCTCTTTCATGAACATTAATGACTTTCATGAGCAATCAATGATTTTAGACATTTAATTCTCATAATTCATTTCAACTTCATATCTGATAGCCTCATATCAATCTCGCATACCATGTTTTTTTATCATTTCACGATGATCATTACAACATATCTATACAAATGTCTCACTGGAGGTGGATTTGTGAGTATCTCTCTGATCTCGAGGAGGAGGTCTTCGAATCTGTCGTGGAACAGAGCCATTGCCCAGGGCTCCTCGAAGTAAGTGTAGAAGTCCTTTATTAGACCCTCTTCGAATCTAGCAACAAACAAAAGTTACTTTGGTTTGGATGTAAATTGTAATAATAATGATTATTTCGCCACAAAAAACTCACTCAAATTATTTCTCAAAATCCCAGAACATTCTTAGCAATTTTTGTCTCGGCGCTTTTTTATTTCGTCTCGGAGTGTTTCATTAAAAAGTTTTCGGCACAATTTTTATTTGATACAATAGAACAACCCATAATTTCAAAAAAAAAAACAATTTAGAGCTCGATTGTATCTCAAAAATAGATCATAAATTCCGGACATTGTCAAATACGGTAATATGTTGCGTTATTTTAAACAATAGCAGCGCATCAATTTTTGCCAATTAAAGCCGGAAAAATAGGCAATTATCACTGACTCTAACCTGGACACCATTCTATTCAGCAACTTCTCATTCTTCCCATACAGACACAGAATATTCCCACTCCTCAAACTACTCCTCTTGTTTCCATTCTGCCCCTCCCCTCTCTTCTTCACACAAGTCACCGTCTGCACTGTGCTGTAGTTGTTCACGTGGATCATAAAGTAGCCAGACTTGTCGCCTTTGGTTGGTTCCTCAGATGTGTCAAGAGAGCCAGTGACGTATTCTTTGCCCTGCAACAGGAAACGAATGCTTGCTATTCTTCATGCAATGACTTTAAATGTAATGTCTTGATTGCTACTCTTAAATGTTCGAAGCCTCGCGCTAATACATTCGATAGCATTGGCACAATTTGAGAAAACTGGAACATGAGGTAAGTTTGTTCTGTAAAGCTTTTAATCCGCTGGAAATCTAAAAATTAAACTCCACAATCGAAACTAGAAATCGTTCACGTTTTTTCGCGCCATTCTCAAATTCCTACTTGGAGAGTGCTATTTAGGTCACTTCCAGCAGATGAATTTCAATTGAACTCTAAAAAGCATATACAGTGCTGATTTAAATTATCCGGACGAAACGAACTAAACTTGAATTTTCAAACGCAATTTTCTCAAATTGGGTTAAGATTAGACAAAAAGTGAAGAGGACAAAAGTTGCTTAGAATTTCACCAGAATTAATATGGTGCCATTTTTCTCCGAAATTCTCAACAAAAATTTTACCCCAAAAATGGGTCATTTTGGCTTTTTTCAATTAATCAAATATTACGCTGAAACTACTTTGTTAATTGATATGAAAATTATATCATAGGAAGCCTCTTACGCAGTTCAACAAAGTTTAAGAAGGGTTAAATCTCCAAAAACCAGTATAAATGAAAAAATTTTCACTTGATAGTCAATAAATAAGATTTTTACTACATAAAACCCAGAATATCTGTTTAAAAATAAATTTTAAACAATTTGCGCAATTTTTTGGAAACTTAATCCTTCTTAAACTTTGTTGAACTGCGCAAGAGGCTTCCTGTGATATAATTTTCATATCAATTAACAAAGTGGTTTCAGCGTAATTCTTGATTAATTGAAAAAAGCCAAAATGACCCATTTTTGGGATAAAATTTTTGTTGAGAATTTTGGAGAAAAAATGGCACCATATTAATTCCGGTGAACTTTTGTCCTCTTCACTTTTTGTCTAATCTTAACCCAATTTGAGAACAATGCGTTTGAAAATTCAAGTTTTGTTCGTTTTGTCCGGATAATTTAAATCAGCACTGTATACCTAAGTGCATTCATAAATTCATTAATATAAAAGAGTGCACAACTGTAGTTGTTAGAGCATTTTGAGACTTTTTCCTGAAAAAGAAACAAAAAGT